GTTAATTGGCCCACAGCCACCACCAATGTTGTCGCCGGCGGCGGACTTGAAGGTCTTGGCGACGGCGGAGCGGCTGCGCACGATGCCTGAAAACCATGAAGTCGGAGACGACGTCGTCTGCAGCGGAGAAGATGGAGTGGAGGAGGGCTTCGCATCAGAATTCTCCATTTTCATGCAAGTTGGTACAGAATTCTCACTACTATAGTGTCAATAATTGATCCCCACACATCACAACGTAATTTTCACTTCCAAAATTAGAATTTACTTTAGATCTAGATGAGTATCCGACTGAATTTAGGGTAAATTACGATCATCCATGAGGTAAGATGAAATTACGAAAAAATCTATTTATGTTTATGTAATTAAAATTACTTTCGTCAATTATGAATTATTTTACACGTCCTCCCTTATGGTGTCAAATTCAATAAAATCTTCTAGTTTTCGTGAAATGTTCTTGAGTTTGTATTCGTTTTGTGCACAGAAAAAACAGATTGAGATGCATCACAGTCTGATATTTACAAAGTCAAAAAACGCGTCGTACGATCATCTTATTTCAAAGTGTGGAGTTGAAATGGGATAAAACGGGTACAAACCGGAGAATATTCCACATAATTCAGAAGATTCCACTAAATTTGACATGGCAAGGGTGAACGTGTAATAACATAGTTGTGGGCTAATTGTAATTATTCAAACATTATGGATTTTTCAATAATTTAACCTTATCTCAGGGTTGGCCGTAATTTATCCTTCAATTTATCTAGGATTTATATAACGTTTTGGAATTTAAGATGCTATTTTTAGAATATAAGGAGAAAAAAAATTGAAGTGAAAAAAAGAATCCGAGGGTAAAATGGCAGGGAAATCAAACTTTGTGGTGTTAGACGAAATAAAATGAATTTTTGGGGGCGTCTGAACTAGGGCCCAGGCCCAATCGTTAAAGTCCAGATCAGAGCGCAATTAGAGGAAATGCCCATTTACTAAATGGGTAAATTAGAATCCCACCCCTGAAGTAAGATCTATTTACGAAAAAACCCATCATTTATTCATAACTACATACACCTCCCTGCAATTTGTAGATTTCTTACATTAATACCATTGTGGAGTGGTTGATATAAGAAATTTACAAACTGCAAGGGCTGGATGTAATTTCTAAAAATAAGGAGTTTTTCTGTAATTACACTTTACTTCAGAGAGGAGGTTTTAATTTACCCGTTCTAAATTGTTGTGGTTCAGCTTAACCTAATTGATTAATGCTTAATAGTGTGTCCTAAGCCATATTAATTTAAAGGTAAATAGCACTTAACCCCTGCGGTTTGAACTATATGCACTTGACCCCCTTGTACAATTTCAATATAATCACATAACATCCTTGTACCTTCAAAATTTTCATCTTCCTAACGAGCATAATTATTTACCAAGTGGAATATTATAGGCAATTATGTGCTTATATTCAAATAACATAAGTACAAGGGGGTTATATGCGCAAAATTCAAACTACGGGGAATACGTCATGTGCTCATATCGAAAGTATAAGGGGGTCATGTGCACAAAACTCAAATTACAGAGGTTAAGTGCTATTTACCCTTTAATTTAATTATGAATCTTGCAATTAGTTGTAAGTGATTAATATTTTTGCTATACTTTCTTGATTTGGAGTTAACAAAGAATTACACTAATGCAGTGGAGTATATATTAATTAGTCGAGGTGTAGTCAAATCATATGATTAAGAAAACGATGATTAATTAACATGCTTAATTATGGGTTAATAATATAATTAAAAAAAGAGTGCACTAAGATGAAGTGGGGTCAATTTCGGAATCATAGTTCATAACAGGGTGGAGCCAAACTGCCAAACGACCCTTCAAATAATATTATTTAATAGCTAAAAATGACTCCTAACTAATTAAATAATTATCTACTAATATACATTATTATCTTACAAATGGTTCTGCACGGGGGGCTTGTTTGTTTGAAGATGCAATTAATTTCTTAACACCATTGACTTGCTCATCATTGCTTATTTTTTTAATTTTTTTTATTAAGTATACAAATATTTTATTTATTTATGAAATGATTCTCCAAAGATAAAAGTTATGCCATCTTGGAGTAAAAGTCCAATTGAGGTGACTATTCTTTCCTTTTCCTTTTTCTATGAAAAAAATTAATAAAATCAGTTCGTCGCGTATCTTTTGTATATGAGATGTTATATCCGATGAATAGCATCAGGGGTTTTATACTACTGATTTATACAAATTATCACTCACTAAACACACGTACACAGATATATGTGTGTATGTGTAAATTCATCGTGCATGATCATCATAGTGTATTTCATTGAGTGCAGTACCTACAAAACCCGTATCTTTCTAGCTGTTAAATTCTTTGTAATCTTGAATCTTTAGTAATTAAAATAATATGATTAAAAAA